TGAACTCCTAGGAGATGCAGAGAGACCTGGAATAATGGATCACAAAGAAACTTCAACGATGCTGCAAAAGTCAGATAGCATTTATAGAAAGAAAGATTCTTTGAGAACTTATGTTAAATTGTCTAGGAAATGAACTTAAAGAGCACAAGCCTAGGTTATGAGTAGGAAGTTGGAACCAGAAATACCAATTTGCTGACTTGTTCTGCCCAGGTAGTCAAGCAGTTTATTTTAGTTTAGTGGGGTGATCACAGCGTGACGGGCTTAATCAGAGGATACCTGCAGCAACACTACTTATTTCGGTAGCATCAAGTAACAAGTGGTGACTATGAGATTTTAATAAGACTTGTATGGTTCTACTTTGATATTATAAATGGATTCAACTCTTTTAGAAATTAGTAAGTCAGGAAGCCTGCCACAACATTCTGCTTTCGACAGAGAACTTTGGAGAGTTTTTCAGAGTTCTGACGAATTCTCGTAAAAGCTTAATCATGTCCTCATAGATATCTCAATGGGTTGTAAGTAACAAGGCAACATTATAATGGTACCAATGTACAAAATTTCTTGAGCAGGAAGTTCTAAATGGACACATTTATGATTCTGTCCAGATAGTTGGCTGTAACTAAGAGAAGTCCAAATTGTGAATTTTTGTGAAAAATATTCTCCAGCTCTCCCAACTTTAGAGCTTTTTCTGAGGATCTTGAAGTTTGGGTAATTCCTAGACAATACTGTGATCAATGATTCTTCTGTCATTCAGTAACATTGAGCTACCATTGCATGAGTGACCTGTTTTGCAGAAAGGATTTTTCTTATTTTTCTCTGGGTCCCTTTCTGTCACCAAGAAGACTAATTTAATATCTAGGTTGTAGTTGACAGAATTATGTCTGTGTATGTGCAAAGCTTTCTTAATTTTATGAGTTAGTAAGTCTGAGAGATTGCTGCTTTCTTTTGCATTCATCTTGCAACAAAGATGTTTTTGTATTCTTGTTGCTATGCTATCAGCTGTGGATAGTTCCCTTAACTAAGTTGGACCAGGGTTGGCACCATATTTTAGTGATCACTCTATAGTGATCATCCTTTGCTCAACTAGGGGCCTTGGTTGTTTACCTTGAAGGCTTACTGTGAAACCAAGCTTAGAGATTTCATCCTTTTCAATCCTAGCATTTTCACCGGTATGTGTGTGTGCATGTGTGTGCACGCACTTGTGTGCGCGTGCTTGTGTGCATATGTGTATGCTTGTATAAGGAGGAGAGGGTGCAAGAGAAAGAAAATTTTCATATACTGCCATCTAGGATCATTGTCATAGAATCTTAAGAGAGAATAATTAAATCCCCCAAGTAGTCATGATTCAGAGATACAGAAAATAGTAAACAACTAAAAAATTGACTTGCACATGGCTTGGGTAGTCTATGGAAAAGGACATTAGGGCCAGTGAGAATGCTCAGCGGACTAAGTGCCTGCTTACGCAAGCACAGGGACCAGGGTTCGAACCCCAGCACCATATGCTGCAGTGGCCCACACCTGGGCACACTGAGCTGGCCCCCGAGTCCGGGTGTGGTGGTACATGACTGTAATCCCAGCACTGGGGAGGCTGAAAACAGGAGGACAGGAGGATCAATATGAGTTTGAGCTACATAGTGAGACCTTGTACTAAATACATAAAAAAAAAAAAAAGAAAAGAAAAGGACATCATCAGTATGGGTCTGATCGGTTCCTCAACCTGAAATTTAACCTGCCTTTTCATAGAATAAATTTGCAGTTTTCCTGACTCCTATCACTGACAAAGAATTTTCAGGATGTGTCAGTTACAGGCATGGGAAGGTTTTATTAGGCAGAGATTAAGGTGCACTCAAGAGTGGAGTGAGGGGGGCCAGAGAAATGAGATACATTACAGGTTGGAATTGGGAGCAATTACGTTTCATTGGTGGGATCTGCGGAATTTGATAATATACAGTCTTGCTCTTGGTCTGGTGGGTGAGGGAGAATGGCCCACCCATGTCAAAATAATCCATGTGTTCTGGTTGGCAGCCTAATTTACATGAGAAAGGGGCTCTGTGGCAGAAACCAGGGATCTTGGGTTGGTGGGTGGGGAAGGCTGGTCCTCCCACAGTTGGGATCACTTTTATGTTTTAGGTGGTGGCCTAATTTACAGATGAAAAGGTAATCTCTTCATAGGTGAAAGAGAACCATTTGCGAGTGAAAAAGGAATTGAACCCAATTGCAGATGAAAGGGAAATGTCCAGGCTTACTGTATTCTAGGAAGAGAAAAATAAGGAACTAAATAACCTGGGCTTATGTCCTGAAGCTGCAATTTGTATTTTTATTTATTATTGTTCTTATTATTTCTTTTAATGTATTTGGGTGTTTCAGGGTCTCACTATACAGCTCGGACTCATAGTGATCCTCCTGATTTCAGCCTCCCTAGCACTGGGAATACAGGCATAGGCCACTGTACCCATATTCCAGCTGACTCAGTTGACCCTGGGGGCGGGGCTGGAGCAGTATGTGGTGCTGGGGATTGAACCGTGGTCCCTGTACTTCCCTAAGCTTGCCTAAGCAGGCGCTTTAGTCTGCTGAGCTATCTCACCAGCCCCAACTTGTATTTTTAAAATTATGATTTTCCTTGTCTCCTTTTTGACTACTTTTTATTCTTCTATCCTACCTCAGATCTATCAACTTGAACAGCAGGAAAATAACCCATCTCTGCTGACAGTAGCTAAACAGAGCTTTACTAACACAGTCCAACAAGTGAAAAGGGATGAAAAATACATGGAGTCTACTGTACCTTGATAGGCATGGGCTTCTTAAAGGTGATTTCAGCTTGCATCCACACACCCCTAGGAGACTCTGGCACAGACCAGATCTTCTCTTGAACCACATGGTTTTCTTCAAATATATAGACTGCTAGGGTGTCACTCATTTTCAAAAATCCATAGATGGCATAATAAAAACGTAGGCAATACTGCAAATTTCCTGGAAGGGAAGGACCATAGAGCCTCCCAATGTAGCCAGGCTGAGACGTAAGCTTTGTGTTGGCCAGCAAGTAATAGCCTGCAAACAAAACAAAACGGTTAGTGCAACAGCAACGCAACATGAGTTATCCTAGCGAGGCGGGAGATTAGGGCATGGCAGGCTGGTTGGGGAAGTAGGCGTGACCAGTAGTTACAAAGTTCTAGGACACAGCACGAAACAGTTCCCAAAGTCCCACCTGTGGAATTCTCTTGAGAACTGGCAGCAGTTTTTGACAGGGTGACCTAGATCTCAAGGGTGGGAGATGCAAAGACAGCTGCCGTGAGCTCTCTGCTACTGCGCTCTTCCACTGTAGTCCACTTTCATGCTGGAGAATATACTCCTTTTCCTACTTTTTCTTGACCCAAACTCACTATGCAGTGCATGTTTCTTGGCCTTCTCTAATAAATGTAAAACCTGGCTAACGTTTGTACTTGTTTAGGCCAGTTCTTTGATCAGGACGGAAAGAACCTATAAACCACCTCTAGGACACTTGAGCAACCAAAACCCAGTAACACCAGTTATCAAATGGGCAATTTAGTTAAAGTAGTGGAATTTGCCAGCAGTGACTTTAAAAGAGAGGACATAATGTAATTTCTGTGGCTTCAGTCATGGAACACATCTATGAGACTCTATTGCAAATAAAAGCCTCCTGAAATCCTTCGATTTCCTACTATTTTAAATCTTCCCAGATTCTGGTTGAGTTAAAAGAAATAAAGATAGGTAAAAAGGAGACAAGGAAAATTATAATTTTGAAAATGAAAACTGAAGCTTCAGGAAGCAAGCTCAGTCTGACTTTTTTTTTTTCTCCCCAAGCACAATATACCTGGGCAATCTCCTGTCGCTCATCCTCCGCCTTGATTGCTCACACTCTACCAGCTAAATGCAGCTGCCCTCAGAGAAACCTTCCCTGAGTCCCCAGTGTAAATCTGGTTCTTCCCTCTCTGTCCACAAGAGTTCACTCTGTTTCTTTCATGGCACTAAGGGGATCAAAAGATGTCACCCCAGGGCCGGTGAGATAGCTCAGTGGACTCAGCGCCGGCTTAGGTAAGCACAGGGACCAATGTTAGATCCCTGGCACCACATGCTGCTCTGGCCCTGCCCCCAGGCATGTTGAGTTGGCCACCGAGACTGCGTGTGTGTTGCATGCCTGCAATCCCAGCTTTGGGGAGGCTAAAAGCAGGGGGATCACTACAAGTCTGAGCTGTGTAGTGAGACCCTGTACCAAATACATAAAAAATCAACCAAACCAAAACGTGTCACCCCAAAATATGCTGCTTTGGCCTGTTGATTACTTTGTGCTGATGAGATTTGAGAATAAAACAGAGGCAGGAAGGACTCTCTGGACTTTCACTTCCTACCTAAAAGTAGGTCGTCAAACTTGTCATACTCCAGGAGCTCTCTCTGTTCTGGGAAGGTGAGAATGTTTGCATTGCTAGTGAGTAGGAAGCGATGCCAAGGCAGGTATGTGCAAACCAACCTAGTAAGGCAACCCTTAACGTTCATTCATTTCCTCCATGTATTCCTGGGTTACTTCTCCATCGTTTACTACTCCTTGAAGCTTGAACCCTTTTCCTCTCCTGTGCCTACTCCATGACTTTGTCATTCTTTGTTGAAGATGTTGTATAAGCTCTCATGCCTCTATATTTCTATAGGTCTTCATTTTTTAAAGAAGGCTTTTATGTGCAAGTAAAAATATTAAATAAAATGTGTTTTCTCCCATCAATCCATTTTATGTTAGTCCAATGTTTGGTTTCAATCACAGAAACTGAAATAGTAGGGGAAAGTTTTCCTTCATGACAGCATTTGCTACAACTTAGGGTATAATAAAAAAAAAAAATGAATGCTACTTTTTTCTTTTTTTTGGTGGAACTGGGGATTGAACTTAGGCCCTTGTGCTTGCCAGGGAAGCACTTATTCTACTGAGCCATCTTCCCGGCCCAATGCTACTTTTTTCTAAAACAATTTTGATATGGTAAAAGATACATGGTCATGAGACACTCTAAAAACACTCACTTTCAACATACTTATCACATTTTGCCACGTTCTAAAATGTTTATCTTTCATGGTTCTTTCTACTTTGAGGATAAGCCAGGAATCCAGTGAATAAAGTGGATGAGGACACACTACTTTGACAGAAGTTGCTATAATTGCTTTGATCTATTCAGGCATCTAGGCAGCTGTAGAGAGCCCATGCCGCGAATCGCGGCTTCAGAACCAAAACTCCTAGGGACCATTGGGTGAGGCCTGCTGCAGCCCTTGAAGCCTGCGCTAGATTACCCCTCCCACCGAGTGTGCCAAGATGGCGCTCATTTCCTGCTTCCGCAGTCGCTATACACCCGCCTATAATGATGTAAGATACCTTCCCTGAGATTGTAACCAATGGCGCTGTAACATGTATCAACCCTCGATTGGACAGTGTGAGGATATAAAAGAAACGCTCCGCGACGCGGAGGGTCAGAGACAGGAAGAGGGACGGAGAGAGGAACTGTGCTCTCTCGGGGCGCATTTAAAGCCTTTCCGCCGCACAAATCGTGTTGAGTGCTTTCCTGCTGGACCGGAGGGCGCCCGACAGGCAGCCATGACAATGACACTGAAGACCCTTGTAAAAGAAGACTTCCAACAGCTGCTTCAGAAGGTGGTTAGAGTGACTGGGGAGATGGCTTAGTGGTCTAAGTGCCTGCCTAGCAAACAAAAGGACCTGGGTTCGATCTTTGGTACTGCATATTTTGCTGGCCTTGGAACCCCGTGCACACTGTGCGAGCCAATGAGACCCAGTGTGTTGGCACGTGCTTGTAATCCTAGCACTGGGGAGGCTAGGCAAGGAGGATCACTACAATCCTGGCTGGGTAGCAAAACCCTGTACCAAATAAATAAATCTTTAAAAAATAATTTAAAAAAAGAAAGTGGTTAGAATGAAGGACAAGTGTGCTTGAAGTCAAGGGGAGTAGTCTGAGGAAAGTTAATGGCCACCTGTCTTTGACTATAACAGATTTTTAAATTAAGAATTCACTGTATTTTTTTGGCACACTCCATATTCTGGGTTGTGTATACGTTTCTCTGATGTTTCTCTTGCCCATGGGAGTGACTGTCAACTTGTGAAGGTGGGATTTGTATCTGACTATTGTTTCCTCCGGATTGGCCAGGTTAGAGTAGTTTGGTAGGGCCTATAGTTTTTCAACTTCAGCCATCTTTAAGAAAAGACCATAAAATTACAGGGACTAAGGTGACAAGGATTCCTTCCAAGGCCTTTCTCAGGGCCTTCGCAAGTCAGAAGTCTTGGAATGTAATCTTTCTCCATTTCCAGGTAAATTCACTTCAGTGCTCAGAATATAAAAACTTGATCAAGAAATAAATAAAACCCTAAGCCCTCTGAGACAGCTCTTCCCACCAGTCTCCCCCCCATGAGACCCCTGTGATGAGACCCACAGAGGATGTCATTAAAGTAATAGTCACCTGTATGTACACATGGCTCGAACTTTGGATTCTAAGAGCTCCTAGAGACACCGCATTGTGCCACTCAATATTTTTCAATAGTGTTTTTTCTCCCCATATTATACTTTTTATTGTAGCCAAAGACATATAAGAAGTACCAATTTAACTGTTTTGAAGTGTACACTTCCGTGTTATTTACTACATTTGTAGTGCTCAACAGCCATCACTACTATTCAGTTCCAGGACATTTTTATAATTTCAGAAGGAAATGCTGTATCCATTAGACAGTCATCCTCCATTAGCAGCAACAAATCTGCCTCCTATCTCCATGGATTTTTCTGTTCTAGAGATTTCATTTAAGTGGGAAGTAATGGTTTTTCAGAAGTATTTCATCTAAAGTGAAGAGTAAAGTCATTCCCAGAGGTTAATTACCTGGCAAATACTTTTTTAGCATACCAGTTTGAACTAGAGTTTTTAAACAAGGTCGAACAGGGTTACTGACGACCTCTGCTTCTTGCAGCTGCCTTTTCCTTTGGTGAAGTCCTCGTAAGAATGGCCAGTGGTCTACGGATGCACGGACACCACCCCCAGATGTCCTGCAGGGACACACTTTTGCCTACCAAAGCCTGTCGTGTGGTCTCCTGTCCGATATATGTTTGGTTTTACTTTCACACGGGTCCAACCTGCACCTTCTTTATCTTGGTAGAAGTTGCAGAAGTCTTCCTCAAAATTGCAGCTTGCTTTCACGGCATTAAAAGGGAGATCTGAGCAAAAGAAAACCAAAGTTAGAGTCAAACCCAAGGATCCCAAAAGACTAACAGTGCAACATTAACTGATTACATGCATAGTTACCCTTGTGCCAGGGGAGGTGGAGGAAGGAAATGACAGCAAAGGATTGTTCTTGGAATGGCAAGCTGACAGGTTAGCAGCAAATCAGTGCTGCCACCCCAAGAAAATTGTTCTTTTTCTCTCTAAAGGGAGGGGAGAGGATCTCCATAAAAATAAGTTAATACCAGACTCCAAAAGAAATTTCCTTTCAGGATGTAGAGACTGCAATCATTCATTCACAAGTCTTCATAATTCAGAGTCCACTCATAGAAAATTTAAAAGGAAATAAGAGAAAAAGAAAGGATTGTTACGAGTCTCAATCTCTCTCTTAGACATACATTTTGGAAATAGTATATTTTCCAGAAGCTATGTTCCTTTGTTGATCAATCTCTGTAGCAGAAGGAGTAGTTTAAAGGCTGATTCGCTCGGAGAAAATCAGTCCTCCGCATAAACCATACAGTTCAAAACCCACAGCACATCTAAGATCTATTCTGGGGCTGCTTTTACTTTGGCTTGTTTGAATGCTAGCATGATTTACCTCAGCCTATAAACATCACCTGGATGGAATGAAATGTAAGAGATTGGTGCACTTTTGAGAATAACTTTAGTCTTATTGATAAATGAGTTGTAAGCCTCCCTGTTTCAATTGCCTTCTGGGTCCAGAGTGGACATGATGGTGACAGTTTGGGCATAGTCAGTGTAGCTGAGCATGATTATGGTCTGTAGGCTGGCAGATGGGTTAGACCATTGTGCTAGGGGCAGGAAGAATCAGTACTGTTTTGTGTAAGTGAGGAATCATTTTTAGAGAAATTTTTGAATTTTAGGAGGGGGTGACGCAGGGAGCTGTTTAGGGACAAAGACTCCCTATGATCTCCATTCATCATTTTTCAAAGAAAGAAAACATTTCAGTGGGTTGAAGAATTGATCCAGATCCAAGGGGTAGGGAGAAGCATGGCAGCCTAATACTATGAAGGATCCAAGATTCAAGCTTTCCCTGAGGGACACAGAGATAAAAGAGTATTGTTGGAGTAACTGGAAAAATTGGTGTATGACTTTAGGTTAGTTGATAGCACCAAATTTTCTGAGCTTTGTAATTATCTTATGGTTATATTGGAGAGTGTGTTTTAGAAAATACACAGTGAAATATTTAGGGGTAAAAAGGCACAAAGTTTGCAGCCTTCACTTTTTTTTTGGGAAATTAACAATGGTCATTGTATTGCATATTATTGTCTTTGAAGTAGTTGTTTAGACTAAAAGATACAGGCATGTAAAGTTTATCAAAACAATGTAAGCATTAACTGTTCCTTAAAAAAAATGGCAAAATGTTAACAATTTGTATATCTGGCTGAAACATGGGATTTCTGTATATCAGTCTTACAAATTTTGTCTGAGTTTGAAATGAAACAAAAATAGTTTCTGAAAAACAAAAAACAAACAAACAAACAAAAAATAACTAACTACACCTTACAGAAAAGGAATGGGGAGAAAATTTCCCTCTATCACTGGAACCTGATGGTGTCTCAGGTCTTATGCCCTAGGAACACACTCAGAGAGCCAGAGATGAAGAAAAGAAATTAATAGAACTCTCCATCTCTCCATGGACATGCGCATGCCCTGCTCTGCTTGCTTCTGTCAGCACTAGGGTGCACTGTAGGCCCTGAAGACAAAATCTGTGAAAAATGAACGTGGTGTCTACCAATGGGGGGTCTTTCAGATTTCAAAGGGAGCTTTGAAGCCACCTCATAATGACAGTCTCTGGCATTAGTGAACCTTTTGCTACCTGATAGTGAAAAAATGGATAAAAATCTAGTGGAAACCAACAGAGGCCCCTCTAGTTCAGGAACTGCTGGGGTCATCCCAAGCCCCAAGCACAAAGCAATGGCCAGCCAGCAAAACTATTCATCAGAAAGAAATCTAAAAGCAGCAACCGTGGGTGGCCGCAAGGGAATCTTATTTATTAGGTGGGAAAGGGAGGAGGTCGTGCTAAAATTTGAATGTTCGTGGCAGTTTAATTAATTAATTAATTATTTTTTTTGGGGGGGGGCACTGGAGATTGAACCTAGGGCCGTGCACTTGCTAGACAATGCTAAGTACACCCCCAGGCATTTTTTAAAAATTTAAGACAGAGCCTGGCCAAGTTGCAGGCTGATATTGAACTTGGCAATTCTCTTGCTTTAGCCTCCCCACTTCACTCCCATGCCCTGCTCATCAGTTTCATGTGTAACTACCATAACGTCAGTGCAGCCAATAGGTGAATCTATGCATGCACGGGTGCATCAAGAAAATGGAACATCCCTCAGTGCTAAAGAGAAATCAGCTTTCAAGCCAAGAAAAATAAAACTTAAATGCGTACTACTAAGTGAAGAAAGTCAACATGAGCAGGTTAGATACTCTAAGGATCCACGATATGGCATTCTGGGAAAGGCAAAACTATGGAAGATGTAAAAAAAAAATCTGAGGTTACCACGGGCAGCTAGGGATATTCTATATAACACTGTAACAGAGACACACGTCCTCATACATTTGTCTAAACTAGAATGCACAACACCTAGAGTAGACCCCCAATATGAACAGTGACATGTGTATGGGGAAGGGCAAATGAGCGATCTATGCACCTACTGCTCAGTTTTGCTGCAATCTTATGAGTTCACTAAAAAATAAAGTCTATTAAAAAACAAAGCAAAACAAAACGATAGAAAGGATCACTTTTCTCCAGAGTGATGGATGCACTGAGCCATACACACAAAAAAATTCCTGATGATGTGATTTTATTCTTTTGCTGAATACCTACTCCTAGGAGTGGATTTGTCTGTGGTCTGATAAAAAGGAAATCTCAAAAGTGTGACTCAAAGACTAACTCTGTTCCACTTAGCATGCTGTTTTTACCCTGGGACAGTATCTGAGTGCCGAGGATGGGGCCAGAGGGCCTGGTGGTAATCCCACACAGGAAGCTGTCTGGGGATCTGGCAGAGAGGAAGCCTTTGCTTCAAGCTTGATTCAGAAGTGCAGGTTGAGTAGTGATCACAGATGGAGCTGCTAGGGAGTGCTAATAACACATTCAAAGGAATAGGAAGGAATCAGAGAGAGATGGAAGCCCTTGAGCTTCAGTTGATGATCATGGGGAGGGGGAGAGAAAAAGAAAAAGGAAGTTATAAAGCCATTTGAAGCAAATCACCACAAAGCATCACCATGTAAATTTTAGTTAATTATTTGCTTTCTGGCATCTGAACTTCTTGTAAATGAGAGGCTTTGAAGATAATCTAATTAGCTAGAGTGTGCTGCAGCTTCAGAAGAATGATCAGGAGTGTTTCTCATCGTTTCCTCTGCTCCACAGAGTTCATGGAGACAGACTCAGCATCGGTCCTCAGATCTAAAAGGCTCATCTGCTCCTGCAGTGCTAGAAGAGAGACACTGGGGGCAGGGTACTCTGAAGGGTGCTAAACTTGCAGTGTAGTTTTATTTCAGGGGGTACAGCTCAAAGCCCTTTTGGGAAAGAATGATGACACAAGAGGCTGGGCCACTGTGTGGGCTGTGAAGATCTTGGAGGGCATGTGAGACACAGAAAACTGGCAACTTCGAGTATAACCTAGACTTCTGAATTGGATCTGAGTTTGCAACTAATAAGCGGTCTGGGCAGCATGTTGTTGGTGAATGGCCAACCTTGTGGTTCTTTGAGAGGATTATCCCTGCATGGCAGGGTACTCCCAGCCTGCATGTGGGATAGACTCAAGCCCAGAGAGCTGTCAGTTTGGGATTGGGCAGTAAAGACAAGATTTCTAAACATGGACAGGAATGCCTATTAGATACCCAAGGATTTCTAGACCATAAGAGGGCTTAACTCTATAGTCTAGACTGTAGGCCAACATGGTGATGGCGAGGGAGATTGTGGTTGGAAAGGCTTGGGAAAGGAGTTGTTATAACTTAAGTGGGGTGACTTCACTGTCTTTTGAAAGTGGGGGATTACTTAGAGTTTACTTGGGAGAAGCCACAGTAAAAAGCCTGGTTTTTAACACCTGTGACTGTGATGGCTCTAAGATGGTAAATATAAGATGGTTCATGGGTTGAAATAATTCTTATCTCAGCCTACTAAGGAGATGGACAAAGAAAACTGAGGATCCAGCTGGGCAAGCAGACACAACAAGCTAGGAACTAGCCAAGATAAAGAAAAATTATGGCACCTGTCATGAAACATAAGGGCATAATCTATTTGTGAAATGCAAGATAAAACTATGAGAGTCAAGGGTTAAGCCCACAGAGATCAGTGCACGTATCTGGTAACAGAAAAGAGGAGCTGTCTAAAAATAATGATTGAGAGGTTATTCAATCACTGTTAATGTCACTGGAATATTAATGGGTGGGATTAGGGAAAAAGCACATTTTAGAGTAGAACAATTTTTGTTTCTGTGTCAAGTTTCTACGTCAAATTTAGATACTCTTTTAATCTTTGATATAAATCATTTAAAAATACTTAAGTTCAGGGCTTTGTGTGTAGGTAAGTGGTAGAGAACTTGGTTAGTATGTGCAAGGTCCTGGAATTAACCTCTAGCACTGGGGGGAGGAGGGGAAGGAAAAAGATAAAAATATGTAAATCTAGTAAATTCTTTCTGATTTTGGGATAATACTTTAGGTCTAGTACAAAATATTATCTTTCTTAGACTCTTCCTAATAGAACACATAGGTCTGAAGCCTTATTAGAGTCCAACTAAACCGTAAGTGAAAGTCCGATCAAAAAGGTCAAATTCAAAAATTTATTTCCTGTGCTCTGTGGGATGAGGGCTCATTAATAAGATGGGGTGACCACAGGGCCTCCCTCAGCCCTCTAAGGAAACAAATTCACTGAATATTAGGATCAATTATGCTTACATGTGCCACATTATTATATCGTCATCCTTCTTTCTGTAATGAGTCAACTCACGTTTTAGATTATAAATGTAAATCTTGTGCTTTCTGTTGTAAATGTATACTCACCACTGTTCTAAGTTGTTTAGTAACTAGCGCCTGCTTCTTGCTCTTTGCTAAGATAAAATTCCTGTAACCCTCACCAATTCCTGTTACCAAAGTTAGCTTACAGAGATGACTTCAAAAGGAAATTAGATGGGCTTTAACTT